TTAATTGGAAGTGCAAGATTTTAGGTTTGGGATTTTTCCAGTTGTCTAACGATGTAGAGCTTTTAGCCTAAAGAGAAGTTAGGAGAAAGAGACGAATTCTGAATGAGTTAGGGTTTTCAAGAATTGAGATTTTAATTATAGTGTTGTGGGTGGATTGAATTTTAATTTTATTTTCGTGCCTTTGATCAAACATTTTTGTTTAAGGACTGTTACCATGAGAGGTGCACGGCTGTGGTTTCTTGTTTGGACCGAACACATTTTCGAGTTGTGAATTTGAACATATTGTATTTTTTCTATTCGTACAAGAATTTACACCTTCCAAATTCGTAACTCATTTTCAATTTCATGAGTGTTGTGGTTCTGATTTCTCTACTTTTGTTAGAATACTGATTCCCCTGGTGAAAATAAGCTATGTGTTCCGACTCTTTTTGTTTGAAATACTCCTGTCCGACAGTATTCTGACATAAGTATGACTATGAGGATACGATTCTCTACGATCACTTCAAATGTGTAGAAAAACTTGGGGAAAATGTAACATATCTGTGTAGAATGTATACCTGAATCAGGCACATTCGATTCCCAAGTAACTTTGGTAATAGATATCGGACTAATGATGCCGTCAATTAGAAAACCAAAAATTTATAATCAACTACATCTCAGCAGTTTTTTAACACTTTGATCCCCTCTTTGAAAAGGAAAGAAACACTTGTTGACGACAGATGAATTGTTGTTTTTTTCTTTTTTAATTATGAATTGTTTTTTTTCTTTCCTTTTTTAATTTTGTTCAACCGAAGCATGTCTGTTGGCATTTTAGGATTGCTGATGCTGAAGAAAACTTGGGTGAAAGTGAAGTTCGAGAAGCTCATTTAGCTAAATCCTTATACTACATTCGGATTGGTGAAAAGGTAATAATAATTGTAGTTTATTGCTCTTAAAGGTGATGTCTGCTCATTTTGCTAAATCCTTATATTTTTCAACTTGGCTCGTATCCATCTCGAATCTAGGAGAAAGCGTTGGAGCAATTGAAGGTGACAGAAAACAAGACGGTTGCTGTTGGGCAAAAGATGGACTTGGTGTTCTATACGTTGCAGATTGGTTTTTTCTACATGGATTTCGATCTTATTTCCAAAAGCATTGATAAAGCGAAGAAGTACGTAATCATATTGATTAATAATATCCTATTGATTCTAACTTTTTCTGTACTTGAGATGTATGCCTTTAAACTTGTTGTTGCTCCTATTTTTTATGCCAGCTTATTTGAAGAAGGCGGTGACTGGGAGAGAAAGAACCGTTTGAAGGTGTACGAAGGCTTATATTGCATGGCCACTCGGAATTTCAAGAAGGCAACCAATCTGTTTTTGGATTCCATTTCAACCTTCACTACTTACGAGCTTTTCTCTTATGAGACATTCATATTTTACACTGTGCTTACCAGCATCATATCGTTGGATAGAGTTTCCCTTAAACAAAAGGTATTTTCTTCGAGTTTTACCTCAAAATTGTTGTCCTGTGACTTGTACTACTTTGTATTTGGGATGTGCAGATTTACTGATGGCTAAATGTTATAGGTTGTTGATGCTCCCGAGATCTTGACTGTTATTGGGAAAATACCGCATCTTTCGGAATTCTTAAACTCTCTTTATGATTGTCAGTACAAATCATTCTTCTTAGCATTCGGTATGTATAGCTATAGAATTGTCACTTTGTCCCAATTATATGCCTTATCTAGTCCCTCTGCTTTCCTAACATTTGATAAAAGCTAAAATTTCTTTCACTGATCGATTTGTTCAATTTGTTCCGAATCATATATCAGCTGGCTTGACGGAGCAGATAAAACTGGACCGTTATTTGCACCCACATTTTCGGTTTTATATGAGGGAAGTCAGAACTGTTGTTTACTCTCAATTTCTTGAATCCTACAAGAGTGTTACCAATGAGGCCATGGCAAAGGCTTTTGGAGTGTCAGTTGAATTCATTGATCTGTAAGTGTTTGTATCAAATGATCATCTTATTCAGTTTTATACCCCTTTTTTCCTGTTTCTTATCATTGCTGCTAAAATCTCTATTACTTAGAATCTTCATTTTCTCTAAATTCTCTTATCCAACACCCCTGGCCGGTCTGTATCTGGACAAGTGCATTTTGGTGTGTTACATTGCCTGCCCTTGCATGAGTGTTCCGTTTCTCTTCATGATTCCAGGGAGCTATCGCGGTTTATTGCTGCGGGGAAGCTTCACTGCAAGATCGACAAGGTTGCCGGTGTTCTCGAAACTAACCGTCCCGATGCGAAGAATGCACTCTACCAGGCAACCATTAAACAAGGAGATTTCTTGTTGAATCGCATTCAGAAGTTGTCTCGCGTAATCGATCTTTGAATCAGATTAGCACATCATATGAATTAGAAACGGATGACCAAAGTTTCAAAGAATATGGGAACATACATTTATGTTTTTGAATGTTTCTGGTTTTCGATGCACTTTAATTTCTTTCCTCGTTAGGCCAATTGATGTTATGCTACTGAAGTTTCCAAAGTTTCATATTCGGTGTTATCTGTTGTGTTCTTATTGTGTCTGTCTCTGATGATTCAGGCTATACATGAGTTCGATTCGATATTAAAAATCGAGTCGAGTTCACTCAATTACGTTTGTTGGGTTGTTAAAAAGATCTGAATGTTTCAGAACCACAGATGATTCCCATGATTCGGGCAAAGGATATTGCCTTCTCGTTGTGATTTGGTTTTTCGGTGATGATGAGGGTGATTGAGAGTGGTGGTTGCAAGAGTCGATTTTGTTTGGCTGAGGGTGAGGGTGATTCGATAGGGACCGAAGACGTGAGATACTTCAGTGACGATAGGTTGGGTGGGGTGATGCTTTTGGGCTGGTCGATGGTGATTGTTGGAGTTTAAATTGAGGGTGATAGCGATGTGGTAGTAGAGAGTTGAGATCGATAAATGATAATGGAGGGGGGATTTAGCCGATGGGTGCCAATGGTCGAGAGATTTAGTCTATATTTTATTCTGTTTTGCATTTTATATGAAGGATGAAAAACCCATGCACGACCTTGGTGTTGGGAGTGGGTTGGCCGGGGTATTTTTATTTTTATTTTTGGAGTCAAAGGGTGGTCAAAATGGTTTGAAGGTGCCATGTAAGCATTATATTATTTACTTTAATAGTTGTTAACGTCGAGTGATCGATTTGTTATAAATAAAAAGCGTTGATGATCATTTGTGTAGTTTACCCAATTTAAAACCTTGGTAAACTACGTATTTAATATATAAACTTATCATTTTAGTTCGTTTTAGTATTTAAACTTTCAGTTTTTTTAAAAATATATCTAATGTGTAGTTTTTGTTTTATTTTTATATCTCATCGTTAAAATCTTAACGCATTTAATAATTAAACTATCAGTTTTGATTCGTTTTAATATTAAAATTTTTAATAATTTTTAAAATTTAACGTTAAATTTTAAATAAATATATTAAAATAAAATAAAAACTAAACTATAGATGTAGTTTTGAAAAAAAATTAAAAAATTAAAATTAATTAAAATTAATAATTTAAATACTAAACGTGATTTATCCTTAAAAACTTTATCATTAACAGGAGTAGTAAACTTTGAACTTGTTTTTCCTTTTTTATCTCCGTATTTCAAATTTAGATGACTCCGCTAAGTCCCTCGTTAATTTCGAAATCTTTCTCTCTTCTTCAGTTTAGATTTGGTAGATTCAAAACTTAAATGCCTCGAAATCATAAGATTTCCTTTCCAATCAATCCCTGTCTTTGCTTTCTCAATTGGCAACTTCAGCTTTCAAGTCGACAACTAGGAGAGCTTCCCTCGCAAGCTCACCCGCCGACTCTTCTTCCTCGAACCGCTCCTCCTCCTCCTCCTCCTCCGTCCACCGCCGCGCCAGGAGTCTCAGCAGAGTCCCCCACCGGCTTCCCGGATCCGGTGAAGATGAGGCTACCCCTGTTCCGAATAGCAGGGGAAGGTTCGTTAATACCGTTAGGGGAGCGGGGTTCCCAGAGATTAGTCTCGATGATCTCGCTATCGGCTCTTCGACTCTTCACTCCGAGTACGTTAAGCTTCAGGGATTGATGACGTCACACCACGCAATGGTAGAGGAGGAGGAGGAGAGAATGTGAATCAGAGAAGAGGACGGTCGGTGTCCAGGCAAGAATTCAGGGGTAGTGCTGGAGGAAGGTTAACTTCGGACACCGCTAGCTCCAGAAGGAGAAGTTCGGTCTCTGTTGTTCGGTACCAAATTAGCGACTCTGAGGTACTAATGTGATCACCATTATTATCTCCATTACTGTAATTTTAGTTCTTATTCGTGAGCTCATTATTTAGATGAATTCTCTGGTCACATCAGAATGCTTTGGGATATTGTAATGAGACATCATCTGTAGAATGGACTTAACTATATGCTTGACGTTTACTTAATTTGGACCCAAAGATCAATTTAATTGACATTTTAATCATTTGTGGCATGCACTTGTTACGTCTCCTCAATGGCGTTGCTTAGTTTTAAGTTTAAATAAATTGGCCAAAATGAGAAAAACATGGGAGTATTTGATAGGGACTTCTGATTTCTCCTTTCTAGTATTCAATAACTATCAGACTCTTTATGGTATTGCAAGGGTAATTGCTATGTTTTTGTTCCAAATTTAGAATTGTTAGCTCTTTCGGTGGCATTTGTTTTATGGGTGCCATGTTGCTGTGACTCTTCATTTTTCTTCTAGTATCCGTGCTTGACACCCATGTCAAACACATTTTTTTCGTACATGGTTATCAGATACGACCTTTTTTTCTGATAAGAATCGGAGGTCTCGTTAAAACCCCTTCATAATTGCATGTACCTAACAGGGGACACGGCAAAAAGCGGGAGGAGGAAAAAAGTACCGAAAGTTTATTAATTAATGGGAAAATCCCAAGAGTACAGCAAAAACATATTACAACAATAGCAAAGCCTAATAACACGAAAATAACAACCGAACGCCTATAATTAACCAATTCCTTTTTTCGCCAATTCATCAGCCTCCCTATTAGCGCTTCTAGTAACAAAACGAATTGCTCTTCTAATTATATCTTCAATCTCCTTCACAAGAAATTCAAACGACAATGGACATCCGATTGGATTCTCAATCCAATTCACAACATTTCTGCATTCACATTCTTTACTAACCGCTCCGTGGATTCCGAGACCAGCTTTAATCGCCTTTAATTCTACCAAAACAGGAGGACCGAAGCCAATGGATTCCGAGAAAGATGAAAGAGTCTGCCCCTGAGAATTCCTGATTAGTCCCCCAATGCCGCCCTTCCTCCAGTCTTTACTAACCGCTCCATCGACATTTAACTTTAAAAAACCCTCTGGAGAGGAAACCAACCCACTGAAGATGACAGTGCCCGAGGTCGATTCAAATCTGCTATAGATGGGTCCCCAATTAAGGGATCGGATACGACCTTTCATGTATGTGGAAAAGCTTTGAAAAAATTGAACATACCCATACTAGACATATCCACATTTTAGACACTCATATCTGAGTCCGAATAACATGGTATAAATGTTCTTGATTTAGATCACAAATCATTTTCGATAATTGAATGGTAGTTCATTTTCTATACTTGAATATTAGGTAAATGTTCTTGATTTAGATCGCAAATCATTTTCTATACTTGAATAGAAGGTAAATGTTCTTGATTTAGATCACAAATCATTTTCTATGCTTGAATAGTAGGTAACCTTTTATCATTTTTGGTATAATTGTGTTGCGTTTGATGAAAATAAATGAGGAACTTAAGAATTTTTTGCATGTCAAATATGTTTATTTTCTTGTAGTAATATTAAAGGTGAAGTATCATTGATAAGTGAAAACAGATAGTAATGTCCTGCTGCACTTGGTCAACTTGAATGGTGAGGTTGGCTTTAATGAAACCTATTAGTTTTTCATTGTACCAGAAATAATAATTAAAATACTAACTTGTTGATGTCTATGCATTTATTATTTCTTAAATTGGTAGAGTGACCCAGATCATTCGCAGAACTCAAGCAACCGTGCTAGTATGAGGAGTTCTATTGTTGGAAACAATCAGATATATCCTCCGTTCATAAGCCAACAGCTTCAAACAATAGACAAGGCCTAAGAAGGTCTCTCAGCCAAAAAGACTTAAAGTATCATGATGGCTACTCTGTAAGCATTATCTCTCTCTTTGAGAAAAATATCATTCTAACTTTTACTATCACCATTTAGGTGTGTGGAGTTTTTATATAAGGATGCTATTTAGTGGTTGGGGTAATCCTCACTATACCTATATATCTTTTAGAATCTTTCAAACTCATTTATGTTAAATTTGTTTCGTTCGCTTAATGAAATCAGAGCCACTCTTCTGCTATAACCGATGATGAAGCGAGGGGTGCTGGTTTTTCCAATAAAAGTGGGATGGATCCTCACTATACCTATATATCTTTTAGAATCTTTCAAACTCATTTATGTTAAATTTGTTTCGTTCGCTTAATGAAATCAGAGCCACTCTTCTGCTATAACCGATGATGAAGCGAGGGGTGCTGGTTTTTCCAATAAAAGTGGGATGGAGAAGACTATAAGAACGGTTTATGCGCAGAAAAAGGTTGCTCCTTTCTTTTAAAAAATCACAACTCTGTAATAACAACTAGGAGATGTGTTGCTAAATCTTACACCTTTGTGTTTCCTGCCTGCCAGGGGGAGCACCCCATCGGGATTGACGTGAATGGTGGGTTATATGCTGCAATGCGAAATGAGCTTAAACATGCTGTGGAAGAGATCAAGACACAACTTGAACAAGTTTGTAATTTTTTTGTTTTAGTGAACATGTTTAATGCTTTATTCGCTCCTACATGAGTGTAATTTGCTCAATAACAAACACATTCTTATATCTATGAACTCATACATTCTACTATAGGAAATAGACTCATCGCAAGTCATATTTCCATTAACACCAGATACCACTAGTATGCACTCACCTGGCCTCACTAGTCAATATCGTTCTTTTATCTTTTCTTTGATGCCCAATACTTGTCGATTGATCTGGACTTGCTTTCGATTGATATCTACATAATCATACATTATACGTATAGGAGCGAGCATTAAACATGTTCCTTGTATCGGACCAATCCGCTATCCAGGTAACGTTGGTTCTGAGTTAATACTATCGGCTTAAGATAAGCCTGAACCAATACTTCTTCCGGTTTTTACTTTATATTGGTAACCAAAAATAAGGTTACATTTTAGTTGCTTTTCATGAGAAAAGTAACTTTTCCTAGTACTGTAGATGATTATTAATACAATATTAATTGTATACTTTAAATCTTTGATGCTATTTATTTCCTCAATTAAACTCTGCACTTCATACTTGAAAACATAAGTGATTGGTTTTTATTTTTCGATTCGACAGTCTGAGAAGCGTAGAAAAGATTTATTAGCTGAGATTCTGTTGGAGGAGCAGCATGGGAGAGAGCTCTCTAAAATTGTCAAAGAATTGCTCGCTGTACCAAAGAACACTAACTTTGAGAAACAATTACGAGCCCGAAAGGTACAACCGCGTTATACACTCGCTGCAATACCACGTGACTTTGTACTCTATACGGGTTTTTTTTCGAGTCCGAGCCGTTTTCTTTGTTAAATCCATTAGACTCTGATGTTCTTTGTAAGGAAGGTGATTTGGTCTTCCTTTTTATGGTTTAAACAACATATGAATTGTTTTCCAGAGGAGCAATGACAGATACAGAATGTCCCGGCAATTGACAGAGGAGGCCGAAAAGTATATCGAAGATTTCATTTCTAACGTTGAAGATACGGATATTTCATCATTGGATGCAGACAGGAGCGATACTAGTTCAAGTATAGGGGGGATGGTAAAGACACCGATTTTCCGGAATCCGGCGGCATTTAAATCTGTCCCTGTTGAAATGGATGGTGTAATGCTGCCTTGATTACAGTGGGAGACTTCTAATGATGGTTCTCTTTCATCTTGCTAGAATAAACATAATCTTTCCCAGGTAATCTTATGCTCTACTTAGATATGGTAGTTGATAGTAAAAAGTAGAATATCGAACACTATTCGATCTGTTTTTTGAAGATTCAGATGATTTCCGAATTTGGATATTATATTTGTTATCCAAACGGATTATGAGATGACTATTGGCTTTGGATGTTTATTATTTACCATCCTAATTCCTTTTTGATTTTCGTTCAAATATTGTTGGATATTCAAATTTATTAAATTGCACTAGAGGTCATTGCACTATACTCAAATGATTGTCTTGTTCACTGAACTTTTAATAGTTTCAAAAATGGTTATTAAATTTATCAAACTTTGACAATTTATTATAATGATGCAGTAATATTTTGATTAATTTAATGATCATTTTATAACTTTTAAAAGTCCAATGATCAAAATGATCATCTTGACATAAATCCATGACTTCTAGTGTACTTTATTTATTTTATTCTTCCAGTCCATTGTTGTAGAATACGACTATCGGATAGAGTAAAATCGTAACTGATAATTTGAGAAAATAAAAATGAAGACACAAATTTTACGTGAAAACCCCCTAAATAATATAGGGTAAAAACCACGGGCAAAGATAGAAGAATTTCACTATGAGAAAATAAGAATTACAACTTCTCTCAATCTAACAAGGAGAAAACAATAACAATTTTCTCTTGATAAAAATGAGAAAACAACTCTCAATAAAACTCTCTAAATTCTCTAGTATTGGGAGAAAGCTAGAATGATTTAGGATGATTTTGAAGCTAAACGGATTAGGGTATTTATAGTTGAAGCTTAAGGACTAATCTTATAAATATCCTAAAGCACAGAGACTTAAAATGCAATTATCCCATGTCAATTTTCAACCAACTTGCTGTCAATTATCAACCATTTGCACCGAAAGTTTTGGCCAGCAATTTCCACCGAAAGTTACTTGACTTTTCAACAATCTCTCACTTGAAGATTTGATTGGAACAATCATATCTTCATACCATTATTTCTACCTTGTACTATTCATGTTGCTTATGTCTCTGACAGTCCACAAGAGGATCGACACCAAGTAAATTTATCAGCATTGATTGCCTTCGTCATGAAATCTGTTATGTTGTCTTTAGTATGAATTTTCTGCATATCTACCGTCCCTTCTTCTACCTTTTCACGAATGAAATGGTATTGAACTCGTATGTATTTTGTCATTGAATGAAATGCTGGATTCCTTACTAGATGCAAGGCGCTTTGTCTGTCACAAAACAGAGAGACATACTCTTGATTGTGCCCAAGCTCTTCCAATAACATCTTCAACCAGATTGTTTCTTTACTGGTTTGTGTAGCTGCTACATATTCTGCATCTGTTGTGGATGTAGCCACAACTGACTGCAATTTTGAAACCCATCTTACACCTCCACCAGCAATTTTAAACATATATCATATAGTAGATTTGCGTTTATCCAAATCCCCTGCATAATCAGAATCGACATACCCGTTGATAAGTAAGTTTGATTCTCCGTAACATAATACAATATTTGAGGTCCCTTTGATGTATCTCAGGATCTTCTTTACTGTATTCCAATGCTCTTTGCCTAGATTCACCATGTACCGACTAACTACTCTCACTGCTTGTGCAATGTCCAGTCTTGTGCATATCATAGCGAACATTAAACTTCCCACTAATTATGCATACGGTACTCGAGACATCTCCATCCTCTCTTCTTTACTGCTAGGACTCATACTGGAGGATAATTTAAAGTTAATAGGAAGAGGGGTAGAAATTGGCTTACAATATTGCATTTTGAATCGTGATAAGATATTCTTCAAGTAATTCTTTTGTGAAAGCCAAATCTTCCTATTACTTCTGTCTCGGTGAATTTGCATCCTTAGAATCTTGTTTGCTGATCCCAAGTCATTCATTTCAAATTCTCTAGCCAGTTGTGCCTTCAATTCTTCAATATGATCTTTGTTGGGTCCTGCAACCAATATGTCATCCACATACAACAATACTATAACAAAATCGTTATCACCTAACCTCTTGAAATAAGCACAAGGGTCTGCATTAAGTCTGTTGTATCCTAGGCACATAATGAATGAATCAAATCTCTTATACCAACACCTCGACGCCTGCTTTAGACAGTACAGAGATTTGTTCAACCTGCAAACCAAGTTCTTCTTTTCTTTTTCTTCAAAACCTTCAGGCTGGAGCATATAAATCTCTTCTTCAAGATTTCTATGAAGAAAAGTTGTATTAACATCTAGCTGCTTTAGATGTAAGTTCAATGTAGCACACATTGCCAAGACTACTCGAACTGTTGTTAGTCGAATGACATGAGAAAAGATTTCATTGAAATCAATACCTTCTTTTTGAGTATATCCTTTGACCACCAGTCTTGCACGACATCTCTCCACTTGATTGTTACCATTTCGCTTGATTTTGAAGACCCATTTGTT